TCCTTTTACCGCATCCCATACATTTTGGTATGTAGTGTTTTCATTTTTGTTTGTCTCAGGATATTTTCTGTTTCCCTAATGAATTTTTATTTTACTCAGTGGTTGTTCACGAGTGTCTTGTTTATCTCCATGTATTTGTGATTTTTCTGTTTTCCTTTTGTTACTGATTTCTGATCTCTTTCCACAGTTATAAGGAAAGATACTTGAGATGATTTCAAAAGTTAAGAATTGTTTTGTGACTTAGCATGTGGTCTCTCCTGGGTATTGTTCTGTGTGTGGTTGAGAAGAATGTGCAGTGTGTGGTCGTTGGGTAGAATGTTCTGTATCTGTCTTTTAGGTCCATTTGGTCTAAAGTGTTTTTCAAGTCTGCTGTTTCCTTACTAATTTTCTGTCTGGATGAGATCTATTATTGAAAGTGTAGTTTTAAGGTCTCTGAATGTAATTGTGTTGCTTTCTGTTTCTCCCTTAAGATCTGTCAAGGCTTGTTTTATATATTTAGGTGCTCTGAGCTTGGGTTCATATATATTTATAATTATTCTTTCTTGTTGGTAAATTGACCCTTTAATCATTATATAGTGATCCACTTTTTCTCTTATGACAGTTTTTGTTTTAAAGTCTGTTTTGTTTGATGTAAGCATAATCACCCCTGTTCTCTTTTGGTTACCATTTGTATGGAATATCTTTTATAATACCTTCACTTTCAGCCTATGTGTGTCCTCAAATCTAAAGTCTCTCATCAGCATAGAGTTGGATCTTGTTGTTTTAATTTATTCAGTCTGTGTCTTTTGATTGGGGAGTTTAATTCATATACACTTAAAGCAAGTATTCTTAGGTAAGAATGTACCTTTTAACTGGACTCCAGATCTTTTAACAGTCTTTTTTAAGGTGGTAACAACTTAAATTTAATTACATACAAAAACACTACACTTACCCCACTCCACATGCACACATTATGCTATTGATGTGAGAATTGACTTCTTCTATACTGTGTATCCATTAACGAGTTTTTCTGGTAATAGTCATTCTTAAATTTTTTTTATGGTAGAAAACTTTTGTTAACACCCTCATACTCATGATGAGGGTAATAAAAGTTGAGTCAAGACAACTTTTATTCATAATTGAAACTTACATCTTCATCAGTTGACATCAGATTTCACATAGCCCAGTTGCATTCATAAAGTGAAGAGTAACCAGTCTATTCAAAGCATGGGATTAGTAGACTCAGACATTTCGAAAGTCTGTCCTTGAAGGACTAAGAGAAAAGTATGTTCTAATCTTTTACATGAGGACTCAATGTTCTTTAACTCCCCTTATTGCGTATGATATTTGTAGTTCCCACATTGAAGAGACCTGGGAATTTATCCCAAAAAATGTGAGCTTATAATACAAGACTGCCATATTAAAATTTTTGTTGACATTAGATCTAGCAAAGACTCTAGGGGAAAAAAAAAAGTACTGGCTGTAAATGTCTTCTACTTATGTAAATACGGATTTCTTAGGAAGATTGATTCTCCATGAAAGGTGCTTTTCATTAATCAGGCCAACTTCTAAAATTTATGGCACATTTAAAACCTAAACTGTAGTTTGCTCCTTTCTGTAAGTGAAATAGACCTGAGGGATGAAGACACTTAAATCTTTGTATTTCAGTATGAGTTATCTGATTTGGATTTGATTTTTCTTTATAAAACCCATACTTAGTCATTGGAGTCATGTTTATCTACTTAGCAGTTTAGGGAACAACTTGGCGATTTTGTGGTTTTGAGATTATGGTTCTCTTAAAGTGTCAGTGTTTTATAAAATAGTGAGTGTTCTTGTAATTTTACAGGCTTTTGTGATAGAGTACTGTTTTGTTATATAATTTTGACTTGGTTTCTTTCCATTTACATTTGTGTAATTTCAGGAAAAATACTGAACATCTGAGTCCTGGATGATACTAATACTAATAATTGCAGAGGTTTTTTGCTTTTTGTTTTTTTAAATACTTTTCTGGAGTGCCTGTGTGGCTCAGTTGGTTGAGCATCTGAGTTTGGCTCAGGTCATGATCTCACGGCTCATGGGTTCAAGCCCCGCGTCAGGCTCTGTGCTGACAGCTCAGAGCCTGGAGCCTGCTTTGGATTCTGTGTCTCCCTCTTGCCCTGCCCCTCCCCTGCTCATGCTCTGTCTCTCTCTCTTTCTCAAAAATAAATATTAAATTTTTTAATACTTTTCTGCTTTAGGTTTTATACTAGAATTAAAACTGATTTGTGTACCCTTATTGGAGTATTATGTTACTATTAGTCTATGTATTTACCTTTTCCAGTGAGATTTATGCTTTCATATTTTTTTGTTATTTTTTAGCATTTATTTTTAAGAGACAGAGGCAGTGTGTGAGTGGGGGAGTGGGAGAAAGAGGGAGGCACAGAATCCAAAGTAGGTTCCAGACTCTGAGCTGTCAGCATTGAGCCCAACATGGGGCTCAAACCCACAAACCATGAGATCATGACCTGAACCAAAGTTGGATATTTGACCGACTGAGTCACTCAGGCACCCCGATATACATATATATATATATATATATATATATAGGCAGAAACTATATATATACGTATATAGTTTATTTAGTTTTTGAGAGAGACAGAGCTCAAACAGGGGAAGAGTAGAGAAAGAGAGGGAGAGAGAGAATCCAAACTGACTCCACACTATCAATGTGGAGCCCAATGAAGGATTTGAACTCAAAACCACAAGATCATGACCTGAACGAAAATCAGGAGTAGGACGCTCAACCACCCAAGCACCCCTACATTTTCATATATATTTGTGTTAATGTGTAGCATCCTTTGTTTCCACTTGGAAGAATTTCCTTTAGTACTTTTCTGTAAGGCAAGTCTAGTGGTAATGAGCTTTTTCAGCTTTCGTTTTCCTGAGTAAGTCTTTAATTCTCCTTCATTTTTAAAGTTTGCTGAGTTTTCTTGGTTCGCATTTTATTTCTGGCAGTTGTATGTATCTTACCACTCCCACCAAGCCACCAAGGTTTCTGCTGAGAAATCTACTGATAGCTTTGGTGGGGGGGGGGGGGGTATGATGAGTTATTTTTCTCTCTCTGCTTTCAAAATGCTCTGTCTTTGGCTTTTGACAGTTTAGTTATAATGTGTCCTGGTGTGGACTTTTTTAGGTCAAGCCATTTGGTGTCCTTTAGGTTTCATGAATCTGGATGTCTATTTCCCTATCCGTAATTGGGAGGTTTTCAGCCACTGTTTCTTTTAAATAAGCTTTCTGCCCCTTTCCCTTCCTCTCCTCTCTTTGGAACTCCCATAATATCTATCACTGCTTTATTTTAAGATCTCTCCTAAGTCCTGTAGGCTTTCTTCACTTTTTTTGATTATTTTGTTATTGTTCCTCTGACTGGAGGACTTCAGATTACTTGTCTTCAAATTCATTGATTTGATTCCTTCTCCTTGATCAACTCTGTTGAAGCTCTCTGTTGAATTTTTCAGTCATTGTTCTTCAGTTCTAGTATATTTATTTAGTTCTTTTCATGGTTTCTGTCTCTTGGTTGAACTTCTCATTTTTTTTAACACATCGTGTTCCTGATTTTATTTAGCTGTCCATCTGTGTTCTCTTGTAGCTCACTGAGCTTCTTTAAGATGCTATTTTTTGTATTCTTTTAGGCCCTTTGCAGATCTCCATGTGTTTGGAGTTGGATATTGGAGCTTTATTTTGTTCTTTTATTGGTCTCATGTTTCTTTAATTCTTCATGGTCCTTAATGACTTGTGTTGGTGTCTGCACATTTGAAGAAGCAGTAATCTCTTGTAGTCTCTACAGACTGGCTTCCTCAGGGAAAACCTTTCACCAATCAACCCACTAAGACATTAAGAGATCTTTGGTGGGCTGGTTGGTAGGGTTTATGGGCTAGCTGGCTGGCAGGGACCACAGGAAGTTGGGCCTCTGCTGGGTTCCATGGCAGGCAGTCTTTGTTCTGTGGTCCATGGTCAGACCACTTGGTTTTCAAGAACTTTCTAAAAAGTAAATATTATTGTCACTCCTCTAAACAGCAGATTTTTTAAGTGAATATTGCCATGACCTAAACGGCACTATAAAATGCCTAGCTAACTATAAAGTAATAAATAGAACATACACAGGCTCTTCTTTGTAGTGTTACTGTCAAAGTTAAGGGGCAGAAGTTAAAATATTCACAATGAAATCATATATGCAGTGCCAGGCCCTGCAAAATTAAAATGCTGGGCATCAGAAAGACTATGTAAGACTAGATATGAAAGACAAAGACCATCAGAGCACTGAATTTTCATCAAAGAGTTAAGAAATGCCTCTCTGTGAAAGAAAGTATATTTTAGCTTTAGACCTTCGATTCATTTTTAAAAGTGCTGCAAATAAAAAGTAGTATTTTTTAAGCGTGAGAAAAAATTTTATACATGAATTTTAAATAATCAAATTTGGCATTGAATGAAATAGGAAATCTAGGGGCACCTGGGTGGCTCAGTCAGCTAAGCATCCGGCTTCGACTCAGATCATGATCTCACAGTTCGTGGGTTTGAACCCCGCAACGAGCTCTGTGCTGACAGCTAACTCAGAGCCTGGAGCCTGCTTCTGATTCTTTGTCTCTTTCTCTCTCTGACCCTCCCCTGCTCATGCTGCCCCCCCCCCCTCTCTCTCAGAAATAAATAAAACATTAAAACATTTTAAAAAAAGAAATAGGAAATCTAATACAGCATTAAAATGCAAAATGACATGTTATCACTTTAATTTAAAAATACATGTTTGATATATAACATTTGAAAGTATATAAAAAAAAATGTATCTCATAATTTAAGTATAAGTACTATGAGCTTTTTGGTGTATTTCTACTATCACTGTTTTCTGTATTTTAAAATGTGCTATATATCCTATTCTATAGCATTCTACTACAGATTCACTTTTAATGACATGTTTTCGGATGGCACAATATTTGTGTGTGTTTCTAAGAAGCCCTCTAATTTTACATTATTTCTTTACACTTGTGCAGGCATTTGCTTGGTGGCCCGATTTACTGGCAGAGCACGCAGAGAAATTTTGGGCTTTATTCACAGTGGATATGGATACTGCGCTGGAGGCCCAACCACAAGACTCCTGGGATAGTTTTCCTCTTTTCCAACTGCTTAATAATTTCCTCCGAAATGACAGTAAGCACGTGCATTTTCTTTCATATAGGAAATGGGGCAGGGGGTGGGGAGGTCACTGACGAGAACGTAGTGTGAGTGAGCATGTATTTACAGAGGTCTCGCACTCACTGAACAAGATTGACATAGATAACATTAACGCTTGCTCGGTCCTCCTGACTTTTTCAAGCTGGGTTCTGGGGAAAACCAGTAGCACAGCCAGATTGCTCCACTGGCTTCTGAAGTTCCTCTTATTTCTACCCTCCTGCCTTCAAGAACTGCGAACATAGGCAATCTCTTTGTACCCTGTGAATCAGAAAATCTTCAGAGGTTCGCATTTCTAAAGCACTTGAGAATACTTGCATCTCTGAAAGACAACTTAGAAATGTGCCATTATTCTAGGAATCGTGCTATATGAAGGCTTCTACTAATATGCATTCTGATAATATTGTTTGCCCGAGAGGGATTCACTTCCGTGATGGTGTAAGATTGCTATGTGAGATGGGTTGCTCTCTCAGTATTTAGAAATTTAAGAGGATGTAAATAAAGGTCCTCTGCTGAGACCTTTCTTTCCAATGCAACAATTACTTTTACAACTTTTCTGGTACCTGGTCTTCTAGAAACCAGAAGAAACCTAGTTTTACATCAGAACTTTATAGGGACATTTCTTAACACACAGATTCCTAGGCCTTTCCTCTGATGATTCTTTTTAAAGTCCCCTTGGGGCGCCTGGGTGGCTTAGTCGGTTAAGCGTCCGACTTTCGCTTAGGTCATGATCTCGCGGTTCGTGGGTTCGAGCCCCGCGTCGGGCTCTGTGCTGACTGCCGGCTCAGAGCCTGGAGCCTGTTTCAATCTGTGACTCCCTCTCTCTCTGACCCTCCCCTGCTCACGCTGTCTCTCTCTCTCTCTCCTAGAAATAAAACATTAAAAAAAAAAAAAATTTAAAGTCCCCTTAAACCCAAGTTTGGCCACTACTGACGGCCTTTGCTTTAACACTTGCAGCGATCACAGGGTCACCAATTACCTGGTCAGTTCAGTTTGTCCCATTATAGACCGAGTGGATCTCTGCCTCCTCCTACCCTCTGCTGCTGACTGTTCTACCTGATCAATGTAACCGCCTTCACCTCTTGTGTTTTCTTCCCCAAGCCGTCACTGCTAGTCATTCAGCCCTTCGTCACATGAGAGTGTTCCTGTGCCCATTACCATTCTTATCACCTTCCCCTGCACAGACCTCACTCCACGTCTCAGGATTGCTCTGGAGTGTGGTGCTGGGAAGAACATAGTGCTCACAGTGTGACCTGAGTAACCCAGGTCCCCGGGAGAGGTGCTGTCCCTCTGCGCTGTCTTTGTGCAGCTCACGCTGCTCTAACCCACCAAGGAACTCAGCCACCCTGTGATACATTGCAAACTTAATGTACTTTAACACCGCAGATCCTTTACTGCCTGCCTTTCCAGGACGCCATCATTATGTACTTCTAGGCTTAAACTTAAATCCATGTCTTTACATTTATCTTTGTTTAAAAAAAAAAAAAAAAAAAAACTACTCTTGGGGCACCCAGGCAGCTTGGTCAGTTAAGCGCCCCACTCACGATTTTGGCTCAGGTCATGATCTCCCAGTTCATGAGTTTGATCCTCTGCACTGGCAGCATGGAAACTTCTTGGGATTCTCTATCCACCCCCATCTCTGCCCCTTGGCTGTTTATTCTCTCTCTCTCTCTCTCTCTCTCTCTCTCTCTCTCTCTTTCTCTCTCTCTCTCAAACATTTTAAACTTTTTTAATAAAAAAATTACTCTTTTGGTTTTGTTCATCACTCTGTTCTGTCACATGTTAAGCTTTCTTTGGTTGTTCATCCCTTTCAACCTCTGATAAAACTGTAACTGTTTTACTGGGGTGGAGCAATACACATTAATATGAAATTGTGTGTAATATTAGACCCTCCATGGATATCAGATTTAGGAGAGCAAGTCAAGAACCTCTGTTACAGTATGAGAGGCATCGTTTTTAGTAATTAATAACATGGACTATGATGCCAAAGAGATTCACATCTGTATCTGCCACTTGCAACTTGACCTTTGACATTAGCTTAACCCCAGTGAACTTTAGGTTCTTTATCTACAAAGGAAGCAAAGTAATAGTACCTACAGTGTCATTGGTGGTGAGAATAGCTCACACATAGCAGATACAAAATAAATATTATAGGTATTAGTCTGTGAAAATTTCAGTCTTGACTCTTTCAACCAATTCATTCTCCTATCCTATTTCATTTCCAAAAGATTCTACTAGAAAGCCAAAGAACTACAGTGTCTACTCTCAGAAGTAGCTAAACCTACCTCATCCGTTTGTGAATCGTTCATTCTGCAAACGATCCCAGTTGTTAAGTTGAACTTTGGTTCCCTCCTGTCAGCTAGCAGACTCGGAATGACCTCTTCTTTTCCCAGTCTCTTAGCATCATTCATTTTCTGCTAAGAAATTATAAGTCCAGTTTCATGTTATCTTAAGACAATAAACCTGCTTCCAAAAATAAATATGTATGTTATTCATTAAGTCCCTTACTAAAAATAAAAAGTATAGGCTTATTTCAAGCATTGCTTTCTCCATTTGCCTGAAAAAGTCGAGAATTGACCATGTTTAGACTTATTTGGGAGTTTATTCAAATCTGAGGCATTTACTGTTCATAGTCAAACAGTAAAGATGAATCATTTAACTTACTCAACATATCAGAATTTACTCATGGAGAAAACAAGTGTAGATTTCTTAGAAATTTGGGAGAGGAACCTATACTGCACACTCCAATGACCTAGCATCCTTTAATATTTATTTTTTTAAGTTTACGTATTTATTGGGGGGAATGGCAGAGAGAAAAGGAGAGAGAGAATCCCAAGTAGGCTCTGAGCTGTCAGTCAGCGTGGAGTCCAACAGGGACTTAGTCCCATGAACCATGAGATCATGACCTGAGCCGAAGTCAAGAGTAGGATCCTCAAATGACTGAGCCACCCAGGCATCCCTAATATTTATATTTAAGAAGAGTTCTTACATTGCAGGGGTGAATTTATGAGAGTTATTTCAAAAAAGAACACTCAATGAAGGGCCTCTCTCCCATGGGGCTCTGTGCATCCCTTTTCTCCTCAGCCAGGGTTGGAGGCCAAGATCGGCTCTCAAGGATCATTGTCAGGGCTGACTTGGGCTGGCAGCCTTATTTTCCTGCCTCAGACATGTGTGGTTGCTGGGAACCCCTACTTGGTCTATACCAGGCATGTGGACCTCACAGCCACACCAGGGTCTGAAGAGGCAGCACTGGGCAGGGGCCCTCTGGTTCTGCTTGGGTAGTGCCAGATTCTCATGAGCTCCTCGATGCTGGCCTGTGTTGTCCCAAAAGTAGCTTGGCCCCCTACCTGGCCCATAGGCAGCACCTAACAAATGCACCTAAACAGGATCTCATGCGGGATTGCGAGGTGCGGGGTGGTGAGGAAGAGCTGTGAGTGTTTTAGAAAAGCTTTCAAGTACCAGCAGTTTTCCTTCACTAACAAAAGTTCTGAAAGCATCTTATTTTGTTCTAAAAGCAATAAACCACTTTCTGTAGAGCTATAGAAATAAAAAGGAACACTAAAATGAGAATAGCTGAAAGTTCATTTTTAGCCAGACCTACAGATATTTAATTCAAAAGAACTAAATTTTAAATTAAAGATTTCCTATATTAAACCATTTCCGTAACATTGGCTGCTATTAAATGGATAAAGCATAGTTTTATGTTGTTGTTGTATTGTACGTTTTTCAGTTAAAACATGGAAGCATCTATTACTGGTCTCTTTTGAGCACTATCAATTTTGGGGTAAGTCTAGATCTTGGCTTTGATCTTGCAGTGATTAACAGATTTGAGAAAACATCAATTATTTCAGAGAAAAACAGCTCCTCCATGTAGTGAGGTAAATAGAAAAGTTCCCCAGTGCCATAATTTCCTTTTGGTATTGGGAGCACAGTATAGTCTGGGGAATTGAAATACAATGCAGTGACTTTCATCTCAAACTCAGAAGTTGCTAACCAAAGCCAAGACCACTGAGTATCTTAACAGTTGGTAAAATATACTTTTTTTTTGCTATTAATATCACTCTTGATAATAATGAAGAATATTATTGATAATTATGTGTTTTATTAAATTCCTGAAATATTCAGATGGCGATTTAGTGAATTCAATTCAAATATGAAAATGTCAGCCTATCCCTGTCCCTGCCTTGACCTTTTGGAAAGCTTAAGGAAAACCTAAAACTCCTATCCTTTTAATCCCCCCTAGAAAGAAGGAGCCTCACATCAGTGCCATGGCGCGAGAGCTTTTCCCACATTGACCCAATTAACATTGGAGTCCAAATTCTAATAATTAGGGCTTTAGCCACGGGTAATAGAAACAGATTGCTCTGAAATGTCCAGTCTTGGAACAGGAGACCGTTTGCTAAATACCAGTACTTGCAGTGCTTGCTGTTGTTAGCCCACATGTGATACGCAACTCATATAGAGTATAGGTTTTAAATGGTTATAACTTATAATAATGTTGCATGCTTATGTTTGCTTTTCCAAACTAAACTTACTAACACATCTCCAAATAATGGAGGTATGGGTTAGAATTTTTACTTCATTTATTTGTGCCTTGAAAACTTGGTAACCGAGTTGTTTGGGGTTTTGTTTTTTAATGAAGAATCCAATATGTCCCCACTGGTTGGTTCCCATCTTTCTTAAGGCTTGGCTATTTTAAAAATAGGTGTTTATCTTTTGGAAAGGGGACTGGGCTTTAAACAAGTTCTCCATTTTCCAGCCTAGGAAAGTAAATCCCTCAGAGGTGATGTGCCCAGGCGGGAGCTCACTGATGAGGTGAGGTTCAGAGGCGAACGGGAGCCTGCCCCTAGGTCTCCAGTTCAGTCTCAGCCTGCGCTAACAAAAGCAGATTCTGGGACACTTACAACACACTATAATCTTTTAAAGGAAGATAGGAGATTCCTTGAAGTTTTATTTTGACCTCGGAAAATTTTCATAAAGCCCTTGAGTTATGGGGACAGAGGAAGAGAGTTGGTTAAAGGGTACAGAAAGAATCAGATAATGGTATTTGTTGTTCTGTCACGGATGGTATGAAACGTCCATACTGAGAATGCCAAGGACTGAACTAATTAGTGGGGGGAAAGATTCAAGACAGCCGATTCAGTTTCTGTTGTAAGGAGGAGAAAAATTCTGTTGGGGTCATGCGTCTTTCCTTAGAGTGGGCATGATTAGGGAAAGTCGTAGCCTTAAGAACCCTTGGAGATGAAATGTGGTTTTCCTCCAGGGAAGAGTATCAGCTGCACCATAATTTTAGCAACTGTCCCCGATCTCCTGCCCCTCACAGACTCACCCACTGATTCCCAGAGCAGGACTGATGATGAAAACAATCTCTGGCTCCTTCCTTTCTGTCCAGAAAAGACTGAGCTCCCTGCTCATCCCGCCATCCTACCTCCATCCACCCTGATCTACTCCCCCCGCCCCAACTAAAGAGATAATTAGATGGGTAATCACTTTAAATGGTATCTAAGGAAACAGTTTTGAGAAAGAGATGTATTAAAGTTGAGGGAAAATAAATGTTTTCATAATGAAGCAATTAGCATGATAGTTACATGATACCGTGTGACTATAACGCTAGTACAAATAGATTCTACCCTTGCGTGCTGTCTTCCACAATTGTCCTGTCGATAATAGATATGGCAAGTGACCGCTTCTGACAAATGAAAGCCATCTGCAAATGGCACAGATCATTTCTTTCAGCACTACTGAAAGGCAAACCCTTGGAGCTAGTCACCTTTTAATCTGTGGATATGTTAGCAAGTGGCAAATGACCATTCTTTTGGGAACTGATTCCCAAGTGAAAAATACCATGGTGCTTCTTCTTTAATTAACAGCCTTTTCACATTGCTAGCACATTAAAGCCATCCTGAAGAACACCCGTGCTTATATAATCAATGTCACAGCGTCTCCGCCTAAACGAATAATAAATGTTCGGGCTCTGCACTAAGTGAAAACCTATTCTCCAAGACTTTCACCTTCATAAAGATGGGCTCATAAAAATCGAAAAAGGAAAAATTGGAATGTGGTCTCATGAGGATAAAAAGGCTAGTGTTAATAATTAACAAGGAGAGTGAAGTGGAGTCAAATTAGCCATAATAGAGCCCAGAGTGACTGGCAAAGTCACCTCTCATTATCAAAAAACTCATTAAGAAATGAAGAAGTGGAAATCCCGCTGGGTTATTCTCACACTTAGGCTGTATCAGAGATTATTTTTCAGATTTCTTTCAGATGAGGAACTGTTAGGTCACCATATCGTATATTAGGTTAATCTTCAAGCTTTGAAATATGGAGGGCGGACACCTGCGTGTTATCCTACTTCAAGCGCTTAAATGAGCCATGCATCTGAAATTCACGAACTGGTGTTCATAGATACAGCCGTACATGCATCTACAAGGCACAATACAGAAAGAATATGACTTCTAGAGGACAACAGCGTTGTGTGCCAGCCTAGTTTTATAGATCGGCACATTTACAAATGATGAGATGACCACGAAAATGCAAAAATGTACTTAACTCCAGTTTCCAGAGTTGACTGAATTCAAAATTACATGTCAGAATTTGTTTTGCCAGAGTGTGTGGTAAAATAAATATAAAAGTAAGCAGTCACTAGCTTTTTTTTTTTCAGTTGAGTTCCATGGTATTGCTCTAGATTCTTTACCACGTGTAGACATTTAAATTTTTTAGTCTGCTTTTTATATTTTCATAGAATTTAATGCCTTAAAGGAAATAACCTGCTCTACAATGCCTACGTGTCCCTCACAGTAGATGGGCAGAAAGTTCTGTAACCCCTGACGGCCGTGAGCATCAAGAAGCCTACACTTGAGGGCTATTGATCATGTTACAGCCATACTCAGTTGTTTTCATCACCTAGGGCAAGCATCGAGTAACATAATCCCAGTCAGAAAGCTGTATGTAACTGGAATAAAATTATGAACTTCTCCATTTGAATTTTATATTAAGCTCATAAAAGACAGCATGAGAAGAGCAGGACCATGAGACTTCTTTGTCTGTCTTTACCGTAAGCCTTGGTTAATGTTTATATTGATTTTTTCCCCTGAATTAATTCTGCAAGAAACAGGTGCTGAATGCCTAAGAATTTACAAATTCTAGTCACCTTGAAAAAACTGGATTAAAAACAGTCCTGGCCCTTGAAAATTATATCTTCTAGTAGAGCATATGGATATATATCCCCTACCGACTCTAATGCAATAGATTGTAGAAATAGAACTCAATTATGTGTACAATATTGTGGCATCTTTAATTACAGTTTTCAACTTGGATTTGTTGGATTTGGGGTTGTTGTCCAAAATATAGGAAACATTATAACACCAGTGCCGTCGCTCCTTAGGTAGGTTAGGTAGATACATAGGTAGGTAGGTAGACAGATAATTTTTAACAAGTGCACCAAGGGGAAAGGAAGAATTGGATGTGGTTTTAGGAGGTTGTTATGCTAGTAATTGTACAAATTCACTATTACCAAACTATATAGATTTATTTATCAAATTTTAATTAAAAGGAAAATAAACCCCAATGGGTTTCCTATTCTACTTAAACTTTGAACGGACGCTCTCAGAGATTCCTTTATGAGTGGATTTTTGGTGGTATTTATTCAGTAAACACACATTTATGTAGTGCCTATTTAATGTGCCAGATTCTTGGCTGGGTGCTATTCCTAGATCTCAAGGGATTTTTTTGTTTCGCGTGTGTATTTTCTTCCTTGTACATCATTCTGACCTAGCCTGCAGTCTTCCTGACTTTTCTCCTGATGCCCTTGTTCAGATTTCAGCGATCCTCATTGTATACATTTGTCAACTAGTTTTATATCTTAGTCTGCTGGGGTTTCATTGTTCAGGATCCATATGGTTTGTAGTCTCTTGAATAAGTGTCGTTGTATGGCAAAGTCTTGTTTTTATTGTGGTCAGTGCTGTTGATTTTGCTGGTCATGAATTACTAGTTTCCTTCTCAAATGGCTATTTAAAATTAACGTTGACTAACTGGAAGAGGTGACAATGTAAAATTGGATTATATGGGCTCAGGAGTCAACAGCATATTTTTACCCTAAAAAGAATACAGGAACTCTTTTATCTGCTTATTCTTCATTTATTCAGTGATGGTTATCTCAGTAATTGTTATTA